TATTATTTCAGTTACCTGATCCAGAATCTTGCATTAGTACAAAACCAAAACAACTTATCTGCACTTTCCTTATACCTATTAGAGGAACAGAGCTCCACTTCGGTGGATCCAACTAGCAAACGTTGATCAGGATTATTTCGTAGACGGTACCCCATACCTAAGGAGAATTTGTCGAGGAATGGGAAGAAGATTGGCATGTTAGTCACCACCAATCAAGACTACACCCCCTATTAGAATAACTTATTGTTGGCCGTAAAACGTCTACCCTCAAAAATGAGAACTTCCCATATCACANGTTCAAACGGCTTGACTTTTATTCTAAGCACACATTGAGCCTTACATAAATCTCCCCAAGAACACAACCGCTTGATGTTTCACGTCACACAATGGGAATCTGTCAGCAGTCTTTTGTTCCGTTCTACGCTGGTGAATGACCAATGGATTCGATTGGATTATGCTAAGGAAATACGTTCAAAAATGTGGATAGACTGTGAATGGACTGAGCAATATTTATTGATTTTTGTCACAATATTTGTATCTGATGAAGTTATTTCAAGACGAGCCCATTTTGACATGTCATTGCAATGATTCCGTGATATCCGACTCATGTGAGAATGTCCACGAGTTCACAGAATTGATCGATGACGGAAAATCAAAAAACAAAACAGAACTGAGCATCATTTTCATTACGTACAAAGAGAAGTTATTATTAACTGCGCGACTGTTTCATCCTCGTTGAGCATTACCCGCGCAACAAATCCGATCTACCCGACTGGTGACATCAAACGGGGGCTCACAGGAATAACCCACATGTGTTACACCCTTGATTTCTATACAGCGGATTGGATCGTTTCACTTGCACTACGCGTGCGACAGAAAGGTCGATTGCTGTCGAGCAAGTTCGAAACCAATGTCCAACGTTTCTGAGCCTCTCGATTCGAAATTTCTTTGTTTTGTCCGCGGGTTTAAAATCCCCTGACTCGCAGTAGTCGTGTCAATAACCGCATCATTTTTTCACTTTAGAATGGGATATGTTTGCATATCTACAGCTTTTCTACATTGCTATCGTGCTGCATTGGCCTTTGTGTAAAACGTTTACACCTTTTGATTCTCAATATCTTTTCTAACTAATGCGATCAATTAATGCAACTGACAAAAAACAAACTCCGAAAATAGATTTGTGAGCTAAGCTGTGGTATCCGTCGCACTATCCTTCAATAGTGTTTGGTGGAGGTGAAGTATGCATAGAAGTCGCACGTGCATCGCGGATCAAGCTGTCAAATAGTAGTCTGTCGTCAAAACCAAATACTTTAAACAGATCACATTGTGCTTAGAACGAACACCGTACCCAGTGCTAGCACAAAATGAGATGGTAGAACTGAAAACAAGTTTAGGACAGATGGAAATATTGGGGATGATCAGCAAAGAGCATTGTTTCGTCCTCTCCTATTCATTGGTTGTAAATAGATTCAACTAGTAGGAAAAGAACAATCTCCCAAGGAGTAAAAACCCACACCCAAGACCAGCAACATTAACTGATACCTGTGAACAATCGATTGAACTAATCCACCGTGATACTCTAAGTTTAGGATACAGCTGATGAGGAAAACAGTGTTAGTGACTATTTTCAGATTGAAGCAAAGTGCTGTATTAAGAGCGAACAATGGGAACAATGATTCTCACAGTGCAACCATAAGACCCTTTTTTAGAAAAATGAGATTCCTCAAATCAATTAAAGCACTAGTGACCGTTTTGGAACCGGCAAGAGCCGCGCTTTGGTAACCCCTGCTCTTTGGAACGCGGATGAATGCATATCTGTGCTACAGAGTATTTCTGTCATAAAACACTACCGGAAAGTTGTGACCAATAGATGGGGAAATCGCCATCACCGTGGAGGACTTGAAAATCCTATTTGTATCATTTAGAATTTTGATAAAGAAAACCGCCACTTGAACGAAACGTGGTGATAGACTGGTCAATCAGTCCGATGTCCACAGACTTATTTATAACCAAGCTCGAGAACACAGTTTGCGGACCACAGCTGACCGATATAAGCTCGACGAATGATTTGGTAATGTCATCCTCTGCTTCATGGATAGTGGCATCAATATGTCCGGATCACTAAGACTACTCAACTTTAATCGTGCCAATATAAAATTCACTTTACAGGATTTTGTTTGACACTTGGTTAATTAGACGGTCACATCCGCTGATCGATCTGCCGAGATCGACTTTGGGGTAACCAGCACAAGCAATGCAGAAGCTTTGTGCAGCTCCAACAAAAAAGTAAAGCTAAATAGAGAATAAGTTGATTGATATATGTACGGATGACACTATTAATGCAGAAGTATCCACTCCCGGTTGAGTGTCACCACGGACAAATCTCGATTCCAAAGAGGAAATTCGTCGTGCATAGCGCAAATGAAGCGTGAACTGAATGTTAAGGAAACAATGAACAGCTGTTTCGACTTAGTTGGGTCTCATCAGCAGTGCGAATCCATCGACCCAACTGGGGATCGAACCCGGAACCTCTGCCTTTGCGAATTCATACTGCTGATGAGACCCAATCAGGTCGAAAAAGCTATCCAGTGCTTCCTAGCTTTTAAGTTCACGATTCGTTTGCTCTCAACATGACGAATTCTCTCTTTGAAATTGAATCGAATTCTTCATTACTCTCATGTAACATGACAATTCACTCACTACGGAAAACGTTTGTATGAACTGAAAAGTCTACCCAAACCCGGTCGGTGGAGTGTTTCGGACGGATCAAAAAAAATTTTCGACTTATTTTGCAAATCACATTGTACACCTTGGTCACTAAACATGTCGAACACCGAAACAGTTGGGGCGCGTAGGTGGCTAAACATGCGAAGATGTTTTAATATCTTTCGAGCTGGATTCAGACCAGGATCACGAGAAATGTTCCTCCGACGCATAGCTCTCACCTGAACTGTTTATTCGGACGCTGC